TGCATGCAGGAAAGCTGCTCTGACTCAGTGAGCCCTGCAGGCCCCAGGCTCCCAGCCGGCGGTGTTCCCCAGGAACACGTCGGAAATCCCAGCCCCCATGGGCAGTGGCTGGAGGGTCAAGCCCACCAGCACTGGAAAGGAGGAAGCAGAGGTGGGCCCTGAGTCTGGCCCCGTGACTGTGGCCTCCCCATGTCAGTCTCAGGAGGGCGCGGGCGTCGGCACCAAGCTCTCTCGGGAACCTTGTAAGGCGGGAAACCCGAGGGGCAGTGGTCATACCCCATCCTAGGCAAGGTGCAGGTAGACCCAGGAGAAAACTAGGGGTGCTGTTGACGAGGGAATACAGCCAGCAGGCCAGCAAAGGCGGAACCAGACAAGGGGCTCACGTGAAGACTGCCGGGAGACAAAACCCTGCCCGAGAGCATGCGCCCTGAACTCGGCCAGCATGACAGCACCCCTCCCAGTCTCACCTACCACCCACTGCGCCGCAAGGGCCCACGTGGCCGGACGCAAGGACACCACCAAAGACAACCAGGCCACCCAAGGAACATGCTAACCAACAGACCGGTGCCCACGCCACATAAGCCCAGCAGACACTGCCCGCTCATGCTCAGGACCCAGGCCTGGGGCCAAAACCCTGCCTTGCTGAGGACTCGCCCTCCAAGGTGCACCCCACACACGTGGTCGCCAACCTACTGCTGCAGGGGCAGACGGTCACCTACACACGCCTCGGAAACCGCATGGAGTCTCCAGTGCAGAAGGCACAAAGCGGCCAAGGGCAGGGCTGGGGACACCCTCCACTCATCCCTTATCCATCCGTCCTTCCTCTCGCTCCCCCATCACCCATCCACCAGCCAACACTGCAGACCCCTGGGCTGTCAGCCCTAGACCATCCGGCCACTGTGCTCTGGAGACAGTCAGCTGAGAAGGGGACACAGACACAAGGAAGGGTGAGGCGAAGACATTCAGGGTCCTCCAACCAGCAAGCTGCCCCAAAGCCACACTGCCACCCCCTGAAGGCACACAAGAGCCCCAGGGACTGACAGCCCCAAGGGTGGGCTGGGCAGGGGAATGCTAGCAAGGTATCCTTCCTGCAGCTCTCCCCTCCATGCAGCTCCGCTCTGCAGGAACCCAACACCCTGTGCATCCACCTCCCACAGAAGTACACACCCGGCCACCCACCCCAACCCGGCACACTCCCACACTTCTGCTGCTGCACGGACATGGCACACCCAGCACACCGTTCATCTACACAAATATACTCCCCGCACTCTGCTCCCACCCACCCCCAGAGACACCCTGCCCACGCAGCCCGAACCTGGCTGGTGCAGGCGCTCCACAGGTACACGCAGGTGCCCAGCCCCACGCTGAGCACATTGAGGGAAGACCAGTCCACCAGGTTCAGGTAGAAGTCGTCCTGGAGCTCGGGCGCGTCCAGGACCTTGAAGGGGATTTTGGAGATTTTGCGCGTGGGTTTCCGGGGCGACCTCAGCAACTTCTGGCTGTGGAGGGGAGACGGGCCTGAGAGAAGCTCCTGGCCCCTGGGCCCAGCAGAGCCTGCCTGGCCTGCCCTTCACCTGCCACCCCACATGGCCACCAGCACGACCGGCCAAGGAGAACCCCGTGGCCAGGGCCCTTGTCCTGGAGGCTCACACTGGGCGAAACAGCGCAGTGTCCCTCTCTGCCTCCTAGACTGGTCGCCCAGGGTCCCCACTGTGGGGCCGAGTCCTCTGTCCCCCAGGACTCTCCGGCACATTCTGTCATCAGTGAGGCCCAAAAGACCATGGCTTGTCTCTGCCCGTGCCGGGCACCACCCCAGGGCCTCACCTCTTGTTGCTGACGGGGGACAAGGAGTACGGGGACACCTCATTGCCGTCGTCGGGGCTGGAGCGCTTGGTGCTGAGGGAATACTGGGGTGCAGGGGGACAGTGAGAGGACGCCCCGCCCCCCGCCCCCGGGCCCCACCCCTGCTGGCCTGGGCCTCAGCCTCACCGTGAACAGGCTCTTCTTCTCGGGCGTGGAGGGCTGCAGCCTGCGGTCCTCTGTCTGCGGGTCCTGCACCTTCTCGATGCCTGCCCCCAGGAGCTCGTTCTTCAGCAGGGCAGAGTAGGCCAGCCCATCTGCAGGCGGCAAGGATCAGGGGCGGGGCCTAAGCTGAAGGGCGGGGCCACAGGGTGAAGGGCGGGGCCATGTGGCTCCTGGAGCCTCACCTTTGCCGTTGTCTGAGGTGGCGTCCTTAGCTTTGCGGTTCTGGCTGGGTGACTTCTCATTTTCCTGCGGACAGCAAGGCAGGAGGCGATGAGGCCTCAGATGCTGCAGCCGGAGGGTCCAGCAGCGCCCACCCCCACCCCCAGCTTGGCCTCACATTGATGCGGTGGAAGTTCACGCTCCAGTTGGCCCCTGCCCGCGAGGGAATGAAGCGGTCTCCGTGCTTGCTGGGCGAGGACACCGGGGAGTTGGCAGGTGTCAGTGTGCGCCGCAGCTCCGCAACCTGTAGGGCAGAGCACGGGCCGGCTGCCCCTAGTGCACCCCACGCCCCTCACCTCTCAAGATGTGCCCCCCACGTCAGCCTCAGTCCTTGTCCCCGCTACTACCTGGCCAGCCTCCCCCCCTGACCTTAACACCTGGCCTGTGAGCCAGGACCCCACTGTCACTCAGCCCACCTCATCCGTGACCTTGCAAATACACCCCCCACCCTCACTCAGTGACATAGTGTCACCCACCCTGCGTCACCCCGAGTCTGGTATTACCTCGCCAGCATAATGCCCCACACCCCACCCCACCTAGCTGGCACCTGAGAAAGCCCAGCTCTGGGGCTGGAGCGTGGGCCTGGGCCGCTCAGCCTGGGGCTGAAGGAGAAGGGAAAGGGGGCCTGGGTGGGTGGGTTGGGCAGGGGTGATGCCCCAGTACAGTTTTGCTCCTGGGGGTCTTCTGCGGCAACCTCCCCTCCCCTGGGGACCAGTGACCCCCGGCCCTGGCCTGGTGTGCGGCACTCACGCCCGGCATGGTGTTCTCGTTCTGGACGACTATCTGTCGCAGCAGCCGCCTCTCGTAGTCCTGGTCCATGGTGGGCCGGCGGCAGCACCGGGCGGCCTCGCGCTGGGGCACAGGCCGAGGGCCCGCCCCCTCTGACACAGACCACGATCTGCGCCTCCTGCACAGGGAAACAAGTCAGGTTAGCTCCTGGCTAGGGCCCCACCCTGGGGGGCAGCCTTCCTGCCCCAACAGTGGAGCTGCGGATTTGGTAACTGAACCATCAACGCTTACTCTGAGTGAGCCACGTCCCGCGCCCCTCCAGAACAAGCAGGCGCTAGGTCACGTGCTCACGCACCCGGGAAAGGTGGACGGAGTGGGCCCAGGGGCTGGTCACGGCTAGACTCACTCTGGAACCCAGATGTCATTCCTTCTCGGCCTTTTGGCTAAGATAAGTGGAGCCCGGAT